ATCTAGATTTATTCTTGATAAGCCAGTTTACCTAAAAAAAGGGTATAAATTTTTTTCTTTCTCATATTTTGAAACAATCTTTAATGTTTAGGGCCTACCTTCTACGTGACAGCATGCAGTGAGGTATTTTCAAAGTTACTGGATCTGTGCTTAAAAAAAAAAAAAAAAAAGTGACTTTATTTGAAAATGAATGAAAAATGGCGATGCTAGATGGAAAACAATGATAAACAATTTGTTTTTTATATACTGTATTGGTAATTTGTATCTGTTGAACTAAAGAACGATCTGTTTCTTTAAACTCTTCCAGAATGATTGGCACAAGTTTGGCGGCATCTCTGTCAACTTTCATTGTCGGTACCATTTCATAATTGCATAAAAGATGTTTTACTTTCATATTTAAGACCTATGAAATTTATTGGCTTTTATGTTTGAAATGCATTCCCTCCCACCAAAAAATCTTATACAATTATTAATATAGGCTTTTAATACTGAAGTGAATAACAAATAAGATGCCTGTTTTCATAATTTAAGACTGAAAATTTCTTCCATTCGTTTTGCTTTTCCAACATGAGTTTAATTTTTTATACACTCAACTATCTGAAATTTTCATGTAGTAATGGCATTTTGTGTAGATTTTGAAAAGTCGAGCTCTTACTGTATCATGTTTAGCACTCACGCTGTTTATCACACACTTAGAATTTTGTTTATAGTATATGCTTAATGTTGTTTAGCTGTTAGAAATGAAAAATGCAGCAACCAATAAGTAGTCTGCAGTAATAAACCCAAAAGTTTAAATTACATAAAATATTTGCAAACTTTACATATTATTAATAAATTATTTTAAAGCTTGCATTTTATAAGATATGTTTTTATAGAATTTTTTTAATTCATATAGAAAATGTGGTTACACTATAATACAACTAGAAGTACAGATCTTGATTTATTTTTTATCTTGCAAAAGATGTTTCTTATCTTTCAGCAGTGTCCAGCATTGAAAAATGTGAATTGGCATTTTGTGCAATGGGATTAAGCTTTAATACTGCATAAACCACACCACAAAGATGTCCCATATATTGGAATATGCTGTTCTTTTTGGTAAATTTGGGATGGAACAAAACGTCTGTATTTTCTGGCACGTGTGTTGATGTCTGCTGTTTTTTGCCCTGCTATCAATTCTCTTGCAACAGAAATTCAAAAATATTTCAACTGTAAGGAATTGACCTTCACTTCTCTTAGAAAATAAGATACGAATTTTTAACTGTTAAGACAACAAAGTGCCAATATATATCTAACCACTGACATTAAGGAAATAATTTACCAGCCATTACACAAGTGATATTGAAATTTTATTGCACAAAATACACAAAAAAGAAAAAGGTTATTGTAGGAGAAGCATCACCACCAAAAATAAAAAAAAAAAAAATGCTTATGTTAATGAAATGTTTCATTTTATCCTGAAATTTCCACTACGTGCCAAAAGATGTCGTCCTATGTTATCTATTTATGCATGTGATTGTGGAAGAAAATCACCAGATTACACGCTATAGAATTTTGAATAGGTGAAGTATGAATTTTATGAGCTCACTAATAATCTGAAGACCAATTCCTTAAAGGGGGCACAGGACCTTTAAATCTTCAAAAAATTGATTTTCAGATTTTTACATTTTATGAATATATGAACATTTCAGAACAAAATGCAAAAAACCGTGCTTAGCGACAGCGGGGGCTTTTAATAATATCAGTCGGTAAGACTTGGGTGAAGTAATTTATGGTAGTGGGTGGAACTCGGAATTCTTGAGGGATGTATTCTGTGGAGTTCTTATTTGAGAAAATTGTCTTACACTTAATAAAACTAATAATTCACAAAATAGCATAGACTGTCTAGATCTTCAAATCATTAACTACAAAAAAAAAAAAAAAAAAAAAAAAAAAAAAAAATACTTTTTGACAAAACAAGAAACTTCAATTTCAATACTAACAAATTAATAAATTGGAATTCCAACATATCGAAAAAAGTAATTAACAATACAATAATAAATCAAATAAAATGAATTAAAAATATCTGTACAGATACAAATAGATCTACAACATGAAATTTTGCTCCTTATTAAAATTCTCAAAAATAATCTAATACCCAATCAATTTATTAATTAAAAATATCTGCACAGATACAATTTGAATTAAAAATATCTGCACTGATACAATTTGAATTAAAAATATCTGCACAGATACAATAGATCTACAACATGAAATTTTGCTCTTTATTAAAATTCTCAAAAATAATCTAATACCCAATCAATTTATTAACCATTGCCTTAAAAGAGCAGGTGTTAAATACTCACTCTAAATCATTTAACTGACAGGGATATGATAATTTGTTCCTAAACCTGAGAAGGCGGTATAAGTTGGATGACTATCAGTCGAAGGATTTGTATATAATGTAATTACTTAGTTGTATATATTGTAAAAAGCTAATTCTCTTCAGACTTATGCAGTTACTATGTTGTTACTAAAAAAATGGGCCTATTTCATAATCTTTAGTGTGTCAAATAGCTCTTTGACAGTGAAAATTCCCTTTTTCCTTTCTTAAAGTCTTTATCTTTTTGACATGACAATTAGTCAAAAATTAATTAATTTCCATTCGCTAGTTATTTTCAAAATAATTTTAACAGAAGGTTTCACTCAAATAAGAACACCACAGAATACATCCCTCAAGAATTCCGAGTCCCACCCACTACCATAAATTACTTCACCCAAGTCTTACCGACTGATATTATTCAAAGCCCCCGCTGCCGCTAAGAATTTTTCGGAAACACTACACTTCTGAGTCAGACGCGAAGAGAACACTTTGCCAACTTCCCACTAGAAAGAACGTAAGTTAATTAATACCTTTTCTGGCCCTTATATCTTCATGTACATTCACTTTTCTTCTTATAATTTTTATTTTTATATTAGTTTTTGCAAAGTTTGCATTATTTATCTTATATTTTGTAATTTTCTAATGTTTATATTAACTACTTTGAATTATATTTCATAATGACAATTTCCAATGTTTAATTTTTACGAATAATATTGAACTCAAATGCATAAACACGAGGGTGTCGGGGGGACTGTTACTCGAGCTTTATAGAAATTTACTGCAGAAATTGCTTTTCACTCAAAATTGAATTGGCTGAAATGCTTAATAGGAATAAGTTCTTTGAATATCAGCATTGGCTCATAATCCCTTCTATTCACGGAAATATTTGGCCTGACTTGAATTGCCGGTTTGTCTTAACTTTATTGCTCGAGTAAAGACGAATCACCTTCGTATTTATTTATTAATTATTGTTCATTGAATGGGAGTTGGTTTGTTCCCCTTGAAAAGTCAACTAATTTCCGATCAATGACAATAATTACATGCATTTACTTTAATTCTTGCCTTTAATTTATTCCTTTTTACAACTGAAGTTTTGTTATTCATGATTTAATTCCAGTCCCCGTTAAAACATTTTTAACATTTTACTTTCAAGTTACTTCAAAACATCTTTCAAAATATAACTTACTAGTACGGATTCACTCTTTTAAGATAATCCTACTATAATTAAACTTAGATAATATAATCAATTATCAATATTTTTTAGTAAATAAAATATATATATATATATAGCTTCACATAACCTGTTACGCCTAAAGACATACGCAAGGATTAATGGGACAGTCTGATGTTAATAGGCACCTACTTTCAGTCTTGCCTGACTGGAGTCATTAATTATTGGCTGGAAAAGTCAATTGGTACTATTAACAAATATCTGTAATAATTAATTAACATAACATTTATCAATACATGTGGAATACCTTACTTGGTTACAAAGATAACATGTATCAATACATGTGGAATACCTTACTTGGTGACAATCTTTTTTTATCACTTGGCAATTTTTACAATCTATTTTTTGACCTATTTGGAAAATTTACTTCAGCTTTAAAATATTGACAAATTGTTGATGACAATAAGTGAAGTATTTTTAATTGCTTTCGTATACAAATGAGTGGGACTTTATATACAACTGAATACTTTATACAAACGAGCGGCAATTTGATAACAATATCAGAATGATAACATTAAGTGGTGTCTACTGAAATAGTAAAGGCCTCACAATATCAATAATGATTAATTAATAGCTTGATAATTTATGAAATAAATTTTACAAAATAATAATTGCATGAATTATTTATGTACATAGAGATCTTAAAATTTTAACTTATAAAAATTTACATACATGGCATGTCACTCCTCTAAAAAAAAATTCATATTCGGCCCAATATTATCCTAGATTTAATATTTTCTAATGTTTATATTTATCCTAAATTTTAAATTTTCTAATAATTTTCATGCAAAATTCATTTCTTGTGTTATATCATAACTGCTATTTGACAGCCTAATATCTAATATCTGTGTTTCAGATTAACTGTATGGTTTAAGACATGGATACTACCTAAATTGATTATAAATATAGCAGTAATAAAATATTTTGAAGCAAATTTTAATTGCAACAGAGTAAATCCTTGCCGAGCATGGATTTGTGGAGCCACGATGTCACATATATGTGCCATCTTATTTGTTTCCATTTAATATGTCCAAAACTAGAATTTAATTCACCATTTAATGCTTACAGCCATTAGCTCTGGTCAGGAATTATCAAGGAATTTTTAAGGGAATTTCATCAACTGAAAATGAAGCCAAAGAAATCATAAAAATTTAAAAAGCAGTTGTAAGCAAAGGATTTCTAGATGTGAAAGAAGTCAAGGAATTAATTTAAAAACGACAAATGAAGAACTGTATGATCTTATAACATCAGTCAACAATGAAACACACAAAATTTTAATGATGCAACTTCCACATTCAGCAAGTGTGTGTATGTAATTCAATACAATTTCAATATTTTAAAAAACTTGTCATACTCAATGGCATAAAAAAGTAACATCATACTAATTTACATAAAAAAAGAAACAAAACATATTGACATTAAATATTTATTTAAAAAAAGCAATATTAGTTGTATACACAATCAGAACTATACAAAATCTAAATTTCTATGTCTGAGTTGATGAAACAGGCACATCTGAGGATGCTGATGGTTTGGTACCTTCTTTAATACTTGCTATCAGTCCATATAAAAGTGGCCTGAAAATTTAAGTAAAAAAGGATATTTCAGAACAATGATTATTTTTCTTAATTTTCAACATGGCTGCATTTTTTTATAAATGGCTGCTGTTTTTTACATGTTAGTTGGTGAAGAATTAGTCACCAACGATTAGCGAATTTGCAGGAGGAGTAGGCAAATAATATGACAGTATCCATAAATCATTTCATTCAGTAGAATCATAATTAACTGAATCAAGTTGGAATAATCAATTTTCAAATTAAAATGTTATAACTTATTAAGCTTTTATTTTAATATTGTTATGAAATGTACAGGCGTGGTAAGATGGCTTCCCTGCAAAGCAGTTTTAGGGTTGCCACATTTGGTAAGAAATCACCCATTTGGCGATATGCTATGGATGGATTGAGAACCTTCTGGAACAAATTCTTACCGGTTTAGCCAACAATGTTCTCGAACCCAAGCTGAAAGCTATATAAACCCTGCTGGTCCGCAGTCAGTTAGAGTGCGAGATAGTTAGTATCGAGTTGGTGTCTTGTCTAGCGAGTCAATCGAGTTGACAGCCGGGCAGCGAGTGCCGAGTGCATTGAAGAGTCTCTTAGTGTATCGCGGTTAGTGCATCGTCGAGAGAGCGTGTTGAGCTCCGAGAACAACTGAACTGAAGAGTCGGAAGCTGTGTCTGTGTATCGTCGAGTGCATAGTGAGTTGTAGTGTGGAGAGTCTCGTGAGTATGTGGAGTTCCGAGAACGACCAAGCAGAGTCGAGAGCTGTACTCTAGTGCTTTGCTGTGAAGCTGTCTCCAGCGTGATAGCCTGATAACCTGAAGGCTGTGTCGCTGATCGTGTCAGTGTGTTTATAGTAGTTCATTGACGACTGTAAAATGTGGAGCTGTCCTGACAATACTGGTAAATGAAGTGTATTTCGATACTTCATCAAGTGTCATCATTATTCACTCCAAATCTACGAACCCCTATGAATGTTAAGGAAGAAAATAACGTAAAACTGTTGTCAGGGAGAAAAAAAAAAAAAAAAAAACCGTAACAATATTAAATTATCCTTTTCAGCAAACAGTAGTATTAAGTATTTTATATACAGTTTAGAGTCCAAGATCCAGAATCATTGGGACTTTGACGAGTCATTTTAAAATTTAGGGAAGCTCCTTCTCTGAATGCACTGAAGAAAAAAAACTATGTGAGCTCTTTTTATACACTCAGATCCTGGCACTGAAAATCTAGGGGAGAGGATATGGTTTGTTTTAGGCTTCACTTAGAACAGAAAGAATAATGTTAACCCCAATCTACAACTCAAGGGACAAAAATATATTCATGACTAATGTCAATCAGTGTATTGTGCCTGGCCACAGTGTTATACATTCACAGGTGTTTAAAAGCAACATGCAGGAATCTCAGTTAGTCAGGAGAAAAATTGCTTTTATGGCACATTTGATTCTGTTTGAGTATCAGCGTCTCCATTCTTAGATTTTGTGAAAAAAATACTGATAATGGTTTAGAGGTCTGAATATTAGATCATTCTGGATTTTGGACTTTGTAATGTATTTTTAAATATGCAATCTTTGGTTTATTTTTATTTCATTGAGAAAACCTTTTAATTCACAGCAATATTTTTATTCTTATTTTCCTCTCCTCTTATAATGAGATTCGTGATTTGACAGCTCAAAATGCAAGAACTCCTGACTGGTTGTTTAGTAATCACAGCTTCAAAGAAATAAAAAGCTTCATGACTGCTGGAATTTAAGCACTTTGGGGGGGGGCACTGGAGCCATTCATATATAATTGAAAGCAAGATTTAGATTAATGTATTGTCATCCACTGGTTGAATAACTTTTAGAATATTTATTAAATTCCAAAATTTTCATAATCTAATTCTATTACAATGTGATCCATTTTATTAAGCATATCACAGTTATTCTTTTCACTATATCTGCAGCTCCTTATTTAAATGGCTAACAATTATTCATGGTTGTTAAATTGAAAGCACAATTCTTTATTTAATGTTTAGATTTCACAATCAAGTTCAATACAACCACAAAAAATATTTTTGGGACAGACCTACAAAAGTATCAATTGGAATACAGTATAAGATGAATGCAAGAATAATAGCTACAACAATTGAGATGAATTTGATGACTAAATTACTGAATATTAGAAGAAAAGCAATCAGACAGTTTTAAAGAATGTTGTTAGCAACAGTAAATTTATGAAGTGGGACTCTCACTTAAACTGAACTTTTCAGGGCCCTTCATGTAAAGACACAGTGTTGTTTACTAATTTTTTTTTTTTTTTTTTTTTTTTTTTTTTTTTTTTTAGCCCAAAAGGATGTTAGTCCTGAATGGGATATTAGTCTCAAAATGACATTTTGCATTGAAACACTCAAATGCATTGTATCACTTTTCAAATTGTTGCTACCAAATATTATCACTCTGTATTACATTTAAAGAAATTAAATAATGATAAATTTACATGAATCTGTATGTTTCTTGCATTGTGAAAAAACAATGTTACCTAGAGCCATCAAATTTTGAATAATGTAGTTCTCCAACTGAACATGGGCACCTAGAAGCCCGAATTTTGAATTTGCTTATTATCTATTTCATATTTTGTAAAACTTTTATTGAATTTTTGATTAACAAACCCAATGATTTCAAAGCAAGCCGTGGTAACACAGCATGGAATAAAATATTTTTATCTCCAGTGCATGCTACTGTATATTGGAAATTCTAAAGATATGCTATTTTTAAATACTTTGTGATTCTGTTATTCAACTGAATTTCATGTGGCATAAACGCAATGAATATGATATTTAATTAATAAATTTAACAGACAAAACATCAGTAATAAAGAGACAAAAAAAAGTTTTGTAAACCCATCTTAGTAAGAAAACTGAACACTGATATGATGAACAACGAAAAGACTAGGGTTGGGGGAACCAGAAAAATGCATGCCAACACTCAATGCTGCATCAAGAATTCTAAACATATACTGCTATGCTGCTATTAAAATTGTATATGGTGTAAGTGCGAAGAAAATTATGCATAATAATAAAGCTAAAAAGACAAAAAAGGGGGACGGTTGTAGGAGTGAGTATAACAGCTGTTTGGTAGACTAATGAGCTCAGTGAGAGCATAAAAAGAACCTCAACAAATTCTTTTGGATAACTGTTAAAATCCAAAACCTTTCAGATTATATATACAGTCAAAAGTCGTTAATTTGGACACCCATAATCCGGACCTCAAAGCTACAAACTTTCTGCGCATGCGTCCATAGGCGTTTATGCGTGCGCGTAAGACCTTTATGGCTGCGAATATACGTGTGCGCAAGCGCATAATACATTTACACTTGCACGTTTAATGTATAATAGACAGTATAAGCTAAGCTAAAATTATCTAATTCAGTTAATGTTGCAGATTGCATTGTTCCTTAATCTTCGAATTGGATCCGGCTTATTATTTTTTGCAAACTGTTAGAGCAATGTTATAAAAGTAAGCTTGAACTTTCGATTATGTCAAATAGAATTTCCGATATATATTTACTAATATGTAAAGGATCTACAAAGCAAAAGTATGTTTTGAAATCCAAAATCTGTTTATCAATTTCACGCTGCTCTGTGGCACGAGGGGGGGGAGAAAAGCCACGGCGCGCAATGAATTGGAAGTTGATCTGTCAGCACTATCCCTTATCTTCAGGGGCAGATATTTTTATTTTATTTGGTCTTATAATTCCTTTACTAAATGTAGTATTTTATCTCGATGTACTCCTTTGATATGATTTAAATCAAGTTCCTCATCATTATAATTCGCTTCCGATAGTGAAGAAAGTGACAGAGGTTATTGAAAATGAAAACAGAAGTAAAAGTATTTGTGCCTGTAACTATAAACAAGAAAAGATTTTGCATACTGGGGAAAATAATTTTTGTCCACACATTAAGACAGAAGAGGCATTTATGCCCAACTTTCTTTATCAGGCTTATTCATGTTTATTCTTGTACAACCTGTTGGTTTCATCTAATGCTTGTGAACATAGAAAATGAAAATTACAGTGAAGGTTCCAATTTGGTGGTCGAGTTTTTTGCCCGCAACCAGAAGAAAATGGAGAATCCTCAAGTTTTGAAACCAACCACAAGTGAGTTAGGACCAGACTATAAGTGCAAACTTTTTCTTTCATTTGTGATAGTAAAAAGTAATGAATTCTTGAAACTTTTAATGAACTTGGGAATCATAATACCCAAAATAATTATCTTGCTGGTCTTAAAACATATTTACCTTTGATATGCCATTTTCATTTGGGAAATGAGGGAAGAATTCATTTGGGAATACACAATGCATCTTACTCTTATCAAGTGTGCTGTTTCTAAGATGTTCTAATGCCATGCCAGTGTAATTACCAATGTAACAATATGTAGGTTTGTATAAATGCATTTGCTTCGTTCCATGGCGTCACAAAATTGGGGGAAAAAATAACAGAAGCTTTTTCTGTTGATGGAAAAGTATTCTTAAACTTCAAAGGAAAACATACAAATCAAAAATATGCAATTCCTTAGGAAACTACTGTAATTTCCGGAAGAAAGGCCGCATCAGTGTAAACATTGCACACAAGAAACATGGCAGAAAAAAAATTTAAATTAAGCAGAAATGCCGCATCAGCGTAAACACTGCAATAGATTAAATCATGTGTGACATCCTCGTGGACCATATAGACACAAAATCTTGACTTATGTCCTGATATATGGCATATCAGTTAAGAAAAATGCATGACATGAAACTATAACTCAAAAATAAATTAACGGTAAGAAATGTTGAAAATATATTTACGTTCAAGTATATACTTATATTTACCCACTAAAGAAGTCCATATTTGTAACACTCATACTATATTATAAAAAATGTTGCAACAATGAAATATTAAATTTGGATGACAAAAGGAAATTTTAAATTTTACTTACAAAAGGAATTACAGCAAACTATACATCATATGAAGCCATCAAAATCTGACTCTTCACTATCTGAATTAAAAACATTTAGTAAATTCTGATCAAAGTCTCTTCCAGATCGTCACATTCATCCTCTTGGTTTACAGTTTCTTTATCTAAGGAGCCACTCATGCATGATTCTTTCGCACATCCAGCTGTTCGCGTTTGCACAAATAATTACGTCATTAGGAAAATCTCCCTTCGGAATAGTCTTTAGTTTAAAAATGATCATTGGCTTTAGCTTGTCACCGTTTGTGGCACAAGCTAACACACATGTAAATGACGCTCTTTTCATGCCCTTTCGTAAGCACAGATACAGTTTTTGCACCAGTTTCATCCACGGTTCTGTTTGCAGGAGAGTCGAAAGCTAAGTCACTTCATCCATATTTATTATCTGTGACCGAAGAAGTTTTTTGTCAATAATATCTGTCACATAGTTTAGAAAAGATGCCTTTTTATCCTGCCAGTCCATTGGTAATTGTTGCTCGACTGTTGTTTTAGTATTCACAGAAATATTTTTTCTTTTCATAAATTTGCTACACCAGCAAGGCCCTCCTTTGAAATCATTTATGTTCATTTGTTTTGCCATAAATTTTGCTTGTAAGTGAATTTTTACAGTCGAAATCGCCCTTCCTTTTTCTCATTGCTCCTTTATCCAGTTTGCAAAATTGCCCTTTACATTCGGCCACCTTACAGTACCACTTCTTTTGGCTCTTTTCTGTAGTGGCATATTTTTAAGTTCTTCTTTTTCAGTTCTCCAATGTTGAATGCATCTCTCATCCACTTCAAACTCTCGAGTTGCTGCTCTATTTCCAATTTGTTCAGCACGTGAAATTACATTAAGCTTAAAACTAGCTTTTGTGCCGTTTAGGTGCCATTTTCAAAATTTTTCCGCTCCCTTCTTACTTAAAAAACTATCCAACAAATAATTGTACCCAAACTGATGGAATTTGTATCTGCCAGAATGCGAAGAAAAATTGATTCGTGCTGAAGGGAATACGTCAGAATTCGTAATTGCAACACAGGTGGTGTTCGCCTTTGAAAAACATTGCAGTAGGTTTACAATGGAAAAGGCACTGGTAGAGAGAGGAAGGGTCCTGGAAGATTCATCAAATGACAGAGAAGAAAGACTATTCAAACTGATGAGAATGCTGATTTGAAAAAGGGAAGAATGTTATTGTTCTGAGATCCCATTTAGGGTGAATAAGGCATGTAGGCCCGTTCAAGGGAAAGAATGTGAACAAAATAAAGTTCGCAGAAAGCAACTGAGTGGTCTTTTGTGTGGGAACAGCCCCAATCTATGTACAATGACAAAGTCATCCGAACTATGTACAATAACAAGGTCATTTAAACTATGAAAAGTGACATAGGAAATATTTTTTTAGTGCACCTAAGTGCCTCATGGGTAGAAACGGCGCACCCGCTGAAAATTTAAGTTCTAAACACATAAGCGCCACGGCATTTCTTCCGGAAATTATGGTATTTCTAAAATAATTAAGTTCGTCAGTCCTTCAAGGGGAAAAAGTCTCAATATTCCCTAAAAAAAGAAAGAAAGAAAGAAAAAAAAAAAAAAAAAAAGGTAAATATACTTGCTTGGAAGAGTACAATCACAAAATTATATGACACGTACACTAGAAACAAAACAATCTAGTGTCATATGATAAATTTAGAGAAAAGTTTATTTGTGCTACATCAAAAGTACAGATAGATAGGCTTGCCGAAAATACTGGGAAAAACTTGATGAAGGACAGAAAATTCAAAAACTAATTCAAGATCCAAAAATTAAAATGATGGAAAAAGAGCTTCATTTGAGGAAGAGCCAGTTATGACAGTGAAAAGATTTGTGCTCCCAAGATTAACAGAAGAAAAAGAATATTAGTTACCTAAAATTTTTTTTAAAATTTATTTCTCTTCTACCTTATATGCATTTTGTTTGTAACACAAATTTTATTAAATAAAGAATGAAAGTTTATTATGAATTTTTTGATTGATTTTAGAACAGTATTTTCTTTATCATATAAGTTACACAAACTAAAAATTAATTTTCTCAAAATTCCTGTCAATGAAATGGTTTAAATATAAATTGTTTCTCCCTTTGGATCTTCAAATATGTATAGGAAAAAGTATAGTTCTCCATCTCTTACCAGAAAATATCATTAAAACAATTATATTTCACTCTATATGGAAGAAAATATTTCATGGAGGGTGAAATCAGTGGTCTGAAACTGGTGGCTTTCAAAGCAATTTAATGTAATCCACAAATACATTTCCTGTAAATTGATTAGCATTATTATGACATTATTTATTATGTCAGAAATCTGAGAAAGGTTTCAGATTTTAATAATTTGAATTCAATTTTACATTAATTACATTGCCTTAAAAATTAATGCGAGTAACATTATACAAAATCTACAAACAAAGCTAATTAATTTATGTGGTAATATAAATCTTATTCAAAGATTTGAAGATACACATATGATTAACTTTCTTTGGTAGTTGTCAAAAGATAAATACCCTCAGTTATGAATTTTTGCAATAAGAATAACTGCTTTATTGGGGAATACATTTATATGTGAACAGCTTTCCCTGAAACAGAAAAATTAATAAATCTTAAAACAGGCCAGACTGTCCAATAAGCATCTACAATTTGTAATAAAATGGGTCTATTAATTTTTCTATGTGGTTAAAAAATTTATTAAAATTTGAACATCATGAAGCTGAAAGTTACAGTAAGAAATTAAGAAGTTTATGACTGCTTACATACAAATATATGTATTTTTCTGTATGTATTAATTTTTTTTCATTTAATTCTTTTTCTTTTTTGTCATTATTATAACTGCTTATACATATCAGATAAAATAGTTTAGTTTAAAAAATTTGTTTTGTTAAGAAAGTTTTCATTTTTATTAAAAAATGAAAATTAAATTTTAAATATTTGGCTTGTCAGCTTTGTATAGATCATATATGTATTTGACGCACATACTCTTAAACATAAAATGTGGTTTTGGTTATGCAATAAAATATATAAACAATGAAAAACTTACAGTTCTTCAGCACCTTTAGTGGATTTAACTCGTAACCAGTCTTTCAGAAATTCACTTTCTAATTGAAACTGTGGTTGTCCAGATTCTAAAAAATGGTTAAAACTTACTAAAATTTTCTAATAAATAATAACTATGAGTTCCTTAAAACAATTATTCAAGGATTATGAGCAAAGAAAAATGAATTAAAAAGCTAAATATGACATGACACAAAAATTGAATTACCTGCCACTAAGACTGATTCTGTAAACAAATAACCATTATATATTAAATATTCTCTGATCAATTCATTGATCATTAAATTTTCATTTGATAAAGGTGGAGGAGGTTCATTTTCATCCTGTAACACACTGAAAACTTCAGCACGCAATCTTGCCCTAATCTCGGACAGCGCTCCAGATTTGGATAAAGCTTCCTTTAGGGCTGAAATATAGAATTACATAAATAGTACAATTTAAAATTACATAACCAGTGCAATGTCTAAAAAAGAAACAGTTTGATTACAAATTTATATATCATATTTTGTGAAATATGTACGCCTCATATGAAACATCCTAGTTGTTAGGGTATAGAATTGCATATAATAGACAGACACAAGAAATTTGCCATTTCCTTAGAAGACTGTGAACTAGGATCTAAGTGTATGTTCCAAGAAAATATCTGGGAGCCATGGGAAAAACAATTTTTCAGTTAAGATGTAGACAAATCAATCAGAAATATGCATTAAAAAAAAAAAAAAAAAAAAACTGATCTCTGATTATTCAAAATCTTGCAAAAAATCACCAACTTCCAGCAATTTTGTGTTTTTACCAATGTTTATTTTATTTTAAACTTTGCTATCCTCTCTTATTTTACAATTCTGGCCAGAATAAGCAAGAGTAGGATTTTTATGGTAATGAGTTGTAAAGTGTAAAAGGCAGGGCTGTGGAGTTGGTAGGTAAAATGACTGACTCCTGGAAATTTAGACTCTGACTCCCTCATATATATGTAAACATATACACATGGGTTACAGCTTATTTTTTAAAATATAAAGTAATAGATGCTACATAAGAAAATTGATGCATAGTAAATTTTTCATATTAATTAGCATTTATTATGAAATGGAAACACTAGCATTAGTAATTTCTAAGAAACAGTATAACTTCTTTGTTAGAGGACCAAAGATCCGATTTGATAAATCTCGCTTATATTTTTTCATTTTTATATCTAAAGGCTCTTGGTTATTTATTTTTATTCGCTTTGACTTAGCCTTTTCAATATTATCCAAATATTTCTCAAATTCTCAGAAGGATTTTGTGGAAGAGGATGATAGAGTGGATTAGTGGAGTGGACTCTATCAGTGGAAGAAGATGATAGAGACTCAGTTGCAATATCTGCAGTTTGACTGTCCTGATTTGAATACTCCAGTTGTTCTGAGAATAATTTCATTCTTTATAAAAGTTCACAGATTGTTTTCTTTGCCTTTTTAATTTGTTTGTCATTCAACAAAATTCGGGGTTTTGGATCTACATATATTGAACACAGCACGATTTTATTGTCTTGCAAACTAGTTTCTCTTTTCTTCATTGAAGAAATGATTCCTTCTGCAATAAACCCTCTATTTCAGGAAGAACGAACATCACATTCTTCAATTTTTGCCTCCTGTTAATTCTTCGGAAGATCGTTCCACAGTCTTTCTTAGTGAAACATTAGGGTTATCTACATCTTCTGACATTCTTCAGATTGTAGCTTTCTTGTGGCTATATACGGTGTTGAAAGAAGAGTTTCCAATTCTACAAGATTGTTTCACAATCTTTCTATTAGTGAAACATTAAGGTTATCTACATCTTCTGAAAATGTTCTTAATTCTAATGACCACCATATCATCAAATATGTACTTCTCCATCATGTTGCGCGATCAATAATAACTCCTTTTCCTGCTCACTTCCTAAGAATGGCATCAGTTTTGGGAGTTCTTGCTGCTTACCTAAATTTACCAATGAGATTTGTAATTCACTTTAATTTCGTTTCAAATTCAAACTTTCAACAAAAACTGGAGTCGACGTGTTTTTAGCTACTCCAACTCCTTTTACCCCAAAATATGCTTAACTCCGATTCTGACTCCATGATCCTGACACCCTGGTAAAAGGTATTTAAAATGTGGCTTCTAGCCAAGAGAAAGAGCTGTCCTGCAACGAGCGTGCTTTTCAGTCAGTTCGTGTGTGCTTTTAGGGCTGAACTTAGTTCCCACTGATGTAATAGGCATATTGTAGCATTTGCATCTAGTCCACTATATACGCAGTGTCAAAGGCCAATTTTTGCGTTAATAGTCTCTGTGATGCATTTAAGTTTAATTCTTATTTAGTTAAGTTAGTTATTAATATTCCTTATTTTTTTTACACTTTTGGCCAAAAGTGTTGGTGTCTGTATTCCGAAGTGCGGGAGCACCTGTATGCTGCAAGAAATAAAGGGTAAAGTTAACCCTTCTTAACTTGTTTGTCTATTCTACACACACACAAACATAGCTTGAGTAAGCTCCCTGTTCCCACTCAGTATTTCTGTGATGTTTCCCCAGTTAGTTAGAAGGAACAGTAGTCTTGACAACAAAATCATATGTTTCTTATCTTAATGGTTTATAAGCACTGCTCACCTCATAAATAATAATAAAATGAAGCACTTTATAGGACTAACAAATTTTTATGAATAGAAACAAAAATCTGCAGGGCTGTTTACATTTTTGAAGCTGTTTAGTGTTACTGTTCATATAGTGAAATCACAGTACTGTATAAACCTACAACTCCACTTAAAGTTTAAAAAATTGTTTGATGAGGTAATGCACCAATAGCTAAAAAGTATTATGTGGCAACCTGCAATGTTGTCCAAAATACTTGTGTGGCAGGTATTCATATAGCCTAGATGGCTTTCCCCTACTTTAGATATGTTTACCAGCGTGACTGCAAATTATGATCTCAGCTATGGGAACTTCAGAATTTTAGCATAATGGTGGACTGCAAATGGCTGCTTTCTTCATCTTTAGCAAAATCATAGCTTTCTGTACATCTAGAGTATAAAGTGGCTTGCTTATCGCACACTGCTTTTTTTTCTTTTCATTTCAGAACTTTGGTGACAAGGATGTTCATAATGGCAAGTTTGTGCAATTCTCTCATCTTATTTTAGCAATTTAGCAAGAACAGATTGCTGTATGCATTGGTAGAAAAAGCAGGAAAAAAAAAAAAAAAAAAACTTAAATCTATGTGTGTAACACTGGATGTACTGGAACCCAACATCATGAAAAAGCCAAACCTTGCTCAATCATTAATCTGATTTAAAATTTAAAAATAATGACATCATAAGAAAAAGAAAGCATTTTCATTGGCTCTGACAGTGAAAATATTCCTTACCATTTCAGTTTTTTGCATACCTATTGGCTAACAAGAACTGTCTTTTGCAAGCTGAAAACTTTAATCAAGAGTGCACCATTAATTAAGTTTATTACTACAGCATTGTAAAATTAAAAGGACATGATAAATGTATGCTGGTAGCGTAAAATAGATTATGATTTTTTAATTGGTTTTTTTTCATAACTAAAAGAAAAACTGATTCAGTTACTAAGGGAAGAAATCATTAATGTGTTTTCAACTTTCGTGATGGGTGGTTCTTACATATATATCTACCTATCTATGTGATAATGACTTGGAGAGACTGCTGCATAATTAGAAAGATGACACTCGAAGGAGAGACTTGTAGACAGATGTCATCGATTGAACATAATATTTATTGCTGGACACAGACTAATTACCAAAAACATATTTTTCATCACACATGATCATGGGCATAACACGCATCCACAATTTTGTATTGAGTACCATATTTTTAATAAAGGCGTAGTTAGCAGTACGATAAAGCACAAGCGAAATGAAATAGCTTCTAAGCAGCAACAGAGCTGAAAACTAACTTTGCATTTATCCAATATGGAAGTCTGTTAAGAGAAAGGTTGGTTTATGTTAGAAAAGTTTCAGTTCTCAGAGTTATGTCATCAAAACTTCACAGGCCATGCAAGATGGAATGATCTAGAAATGACACAATCCAGAGGTGTTATGAGGAGTTTTAGAACACACAGAGAGAATTAAAGGGTTACAGTCAGTTTAAATTATAATTTTTATTTACATATTTTTATCTTACATATATATACACACACACACATATATATGCATGTATATACAGCCGCAAAGCTAGTTTAAATTTGTGAATAGACAGAGACACAGAGAGCTATATTAATAAAGAACACAATTAAAAATATTTTACTTATTCAAGCATTATGAAAATTGATTCTTTTTCAATCTTTCCATAAATTTTGGATAACTAAAAAAAAAAAAAATCCAAACTAATTTATAAATTAAATTTCCGAAAACAAATCATTTTTCAAAAGCATTATTTGTGAAGAGCAATAAGCTTTTAACTATCTGAATACAAAATATCATGTATTACTGAATCCTATTCATTGAACCTTGTATGAGAAAGTAAACATTTATTTTATGTAACTTACCATCTTTCAAATCGCGTGCAGTCGCCATGACAACAATAAGCAGTTACTGCTCATCCGAAAGAGTAATTTCCAAAGTCGTTGGTAATTTCCTGCCGAAAAAAAAAAAGAAAAAAATTAAAGTTTTGTTTTCTTGATGATATTTTATTGTTTTAAAATATTTTTTTTAATCTAAAAAATGTTTAAATGTTATAAAAAATGTTTTATGATGGTTTTATCCGATCATGTCGTGGTCTAAAATAATGATATGTTTATAATTCTATGAAACGAAATTAAAGAGTTCATTGTAATCACATTGTTACATTTCCATTTTTTTAATCAAGCAATCGTTTCAGATTATTTCAAACCTAATAAAAGAAATCGAAAATAACTTGAAAAAATTCCTCTGAAAGAATTTTTGTATATTTCACGCAAGGTGGCGCTGCATTTGTCATCACATTGCTCTTCCCAGTTTCGAATTATCAATTTGTTTATGGGGAAGCTGTCTCGTGTTTGCATTCTGTATTTAATTTTGTGAAGTATAATTCGGTAATATAGTGTGCATCTCATTTGTATTTAAATTTTGAAAATTTCTACTGATTCTGATTAGAAATATAGTCACATTAAAAAAAGAAAACTATTGCTATTTAATAATTACATTTATCATGCCGGTAAAAGATCGTATTGCGACAATTAAACGTCATCTTTCGGGAAGCCAAGTAGAAAATGAAATATCTGAAGATTCAAAACGCACTATTCCAAAACGAAGGTTTGATTTTTTGCTTTATATCTCATTAATGTGTATATAATTAAGAATAGGAATCTGAAAATAAAGTTTAAAATTGATTCTGTATCATAACTGTAGTGCGTAGTTATGAAGAATTCAAATTTTATATTTTTGTTCGGAAGTTGGTGACTTTGAACAACGATGGGGTGAATAAAATGTATGAACCCCGAAATCTGTGGGTAAAATCTGTATTTACTAATGGCAGTTTCCATTTGTAATAAATACAGACAGCAGAAATGCATGTTGACATCTTCTATATCACATAGATATTCATGACAGCTTGTATATCTTCGAAACCATGAATTTATTATAGCTGTTTCATGTAGAGTTCATACTTAAACTAATGGATTTGGTGTTAAGTAGTTTAGCTCATACAGTAATAGCTGATAAATACATAAAGTGAAATGTTTGAAGAAAAATATGCCTTTATTGATTGTTTGTGAGAGTAAATTAGCTGTCACCTTTTACTATTCTGTGCTTGAAGCCGGTCCTAAGTCCAATGGTAACATGAAGATACTTAAGGACTTTCATTCAGTATCAGGGATTTCGGTAATATTCTTGCTTTTGGTGTTTGGTAATTTTGCCTGAACAGCTGTTTTGGCAAGTAAACTGATAGATAACTTCTAAATTATTAAAATTTATTGTCAGAGTAGTTATATGTTTATTTAATTTTGACCTCACTTAAAGCAATACTTCAGAAATGCGAAATTTTCTCTGTTAAATAATGGGTTTATCATTATATAGCTGAGATATTAAATATTTATATAGAAATTCATCTGTGAATGGTCAAATTCATACTGTTGTAACAAATTAAAATTTTTATTGTAAGTTATAAATATGAGTATGTATCTATTTTGTTCTGTCCACATACATTGTTTTTAATATTTCTATATACAACATGAAAGTAACTTCCTGTTAAAAAAATTAAGATCTGGTTCATATTTTATAATTATATATAAGAATTTTTATTTAATTGTGGATTATTACCCAAGATAGACTGAATCATTACCAACAGCTCTCCTTGGCATTCGAGCTGCTGTTAAAACTGACATTCCAAAACTACAAAATCTGGACGAGTTGTGAAATTTTGCCAGAGACTCGTCACAGAGATTGGTTGACTTGCTCATAATTACTCTTGAGTTATTTTCTTTTCAATTTTCGTTAAATCACATTTATTGTCTACAAATTTCAGAACTGAAAAATTCTTATTTTCATTTATTTATGTGAATTATATTCAACCTGTATTACTTTATTTTGTTTTCTATTTTTATTTAATTTCATGTATGTAGGTGATTTCAGCTACTGACAAACCAGCATTCAAATTCCTTCTTGTTTATGCTAGTTTTGTGTAAATACTGTCGTTCTCTCAATTTGCTTGTTCAGTAGGAGGGTATACTCTTATTGTGGTTTATTCTATTTGAAAAAGATTTGATAAAGAATCAACATGATAGGTTGACAAAGAAATACTTGAACAGGTATTTGTAATATCACAGAGTACAATCAATAGTTACACTTTAAGATACAGTGAATCTCAAGATATGATTTAATTGGTTCCAGCATTGAGCTGGTATAGCAGATTTCTTGTATCTAGAAACAAACTTTTTCATTGAAAATAATGGAAATTCAGTTAATCCGTTCTTCATCCCCGAATCAATTTTCCTAATAAATAACAGTGGTAAATAATATAACCGTAGTTTAATTTTATGAAGAGTCCTGGCTATTAATAGGGATGTGGGGGAAGGCGAAATGGATTAGTGTGAGGAAGGAGAATCCTCCTCTGATTCAGGATGGTTCTTTCTTGGGAATTTCAACTCCGGTTATCTCTTGAACTTTCTGATGTTGTTTCTACTACTTGTATCTAGTCTTGTCCCCTCCCCTTGCAACATGTTTTTAGTCTTTTTCTACTGCTTGTTTTTATTCTTGTTCATGTGCCCCACCATTGGAAATTAATATATATATATATATATATTCATTACACTAATAACTATACAACAGATTTAAAAAAAGTACCGTATATACCCGCGTATAAGTCGACCCTCCCCCCACTTCGACATAGAAAAGTCGTACAAAATAAGAAACCCACGTATAAGTCGACCCCCCACTTCCGAAATCGATCGAGAAACATCGAAAATTTTTTTTAAAGTACTACATTTATTCAGAATCATCTGAGAAAAAAAGTAAATATACGATAAAAAATACCTTGGTAAATAAACAAAATCAAAATCCTTCAATATCCGATTCATGGTCAGATTCGCCAAACATTTCATAGAACTCTTCTGTCGTCATTGGCTCGTCATCATACATATTTTCAGTCTCGAACTCTGTATTGTTGCAATCACTACTAGAGCCTTTGTCGTCGTTTTCACTTTCAAAAACAGCATCATCTTCCGTGCCCTCTAGTTCGTTGCTAATACAACATTTTTTAAATGATTTTATAATCATTTCAGAGGGTATTTCGTTCCAAGCATCTTTAACCCACTGAGCAGTTAATGTAATATTAGGCTTTTTAATGTTGTCTTCTAGAATTTGAACATGATCGTATATAGTAACCTTCTAGAACTTGTTCCGGAAAAGATTCGCGTACGTAAAATCTTTCCGGATTTTTCCCTTTTTAAAAGTTAAAAGAAATATTCAAAACTGTTCAGTTATTGCGTGGGCTATTTTTTTAAATTTTGACGTGTACGCCTGTTAACAAAAGTATTTCATGAATGAACGATAACTATTATAAAGACTTATACGTACGTAAAAACTATCTGCATTTCTCTTTTCTTGGCGTGTTGCCGAAACTTTTATATTGCTGGATATTGATCGGTTGTTTGGGGGCCGAAAATTCTTTGGTTTAATCGAAACTTACTCTAGTTAAAGTATGAAACTCTGTGATTAATTTGTCACATAATTTAAGTCATGAATTACTTCAAGTAAGTGACTTATTTGATAAGTCGTCCAATTTGAGTGCGGAAGAAAACAACTGCATTATGTAAAGAAATTTTTGAACTTCCGATTCTTTTAATTTTTTATGGCCCCGCGTATAAGTCGACCCCCCCCCACTTTGAAGTCTTTTTTTTTTTGTCCAAAATATCTCGACTTATACGCAGGTATATAAGATAATTTTAGTGACAGAATTATTTTACTTTACTTACTTATTTATTTATATAGGCAAGAATTGTTGAAATGGAATGGTTGGGGCTACAAGGATTCACGATTTCATCTAAATAATAAAGTAAACCAAGTTGCATTTTCTGGTGACAGGTATTTATAATTTTTTTTGTTACATAGCATTTTAAATTCCTAATATGTTTTTTTTATTATAGCTTTTATTGCTGTAGTTTGTGATTATTATAGTCTTTGTTTAAATGTAATTATAAGGGAAATTTTCTGCTTAAACTTTCAGAAAATTAAATAATATCTAGAATTCCGTATTCATATTAACAGCTATATGTATATAAATGTAAAGGTAAGAAGTATTGTTCATTTTGATGAAAATTATCTCAGTACATGTGAAATTTTAAAACACTAAAGTGAAGAAATTTACCATGGTAAATTTTGGCAGTGGTGTTATAATTGGTGCTAAATCACAAACTTTAGGAGAAAATTATAGAAGTTTCTCTAATACCTTTTTCTTTGGTACCTGTTGTAATGTGGTGATAGTGATAAGGAATGTGTCTGTGTTGCTGCTGATAAATACGACAGCCCTAAGGAGTTTTCTAGAAGCACAGAAAACAGAGTTTGGCCTATGAGTAGTAGGCATTTGAAGTCTTGAAATGGAGATGAAATTTTGTTGTTAATTATATCTGATTAAAATTCTTGATAAATGCAGTAACAGTATTTAATGTGCTGTAGCTAACAAAGAGCATGCCATGAAGGTGATCCAAGCATGATTTCCTTGGTGAGAGTAAGCAGCATTGGCCCAATCTGGGCTTCAGAAAGAGCAATATGTTGCCAAATGTTATGAGAATGCAAGGAAAAGAAACTTACCGTGGTAAAAAATAATTTGTTTGATATCAATATAACATAATTTATTTAATACATACATATAAAAGGAATTTAATACAAATTTTTATTTCAATATTTAATGATTTCATAATTTTTTATAGAATGTAAATAAAATGTAATATTATATTTATTATTTTATCTAATACAATTTTGTTATCAATTTACTTTTAAAAATAACATTCCAAAAAATTAATTTTTTACAAACTGTTCCTGGCAGATACAATTTAGAAATAATTGTTGTTAATAATGCCTCAAATACATCATCACGACCGACTTAGTTCCTGAACATTGCATTGCTGAATGGTTCTTTCCCAACATATACTTACACATTGTACCCATTTTTCAAAATTCTCTTGCTTGGTATAGAAGAAGTATAGAAACTATTTTAGTAGATGATATATTGAAAATAGTAAGCGTGATTAAAAATTTGCTATGAAAACTGTTATATTTTAAAAGGGAAAATTTTTAGTGACCGAAGAAATGTGAGCTATGAACGCATGCAAAAAACGTTATATTTTAAAAGCGGCAGTAGAGAAAATGTTACATGTGGAGATCAATAACAGAAAGTATTTATTGACACGTGTGTAGATTGTTAACTGTTTGTTTCTCACTAATGCGGAAATGTGATAAAACAATGTTCTTATCAAAGCTGCTACAGAAGACAACTCTGAAGTTTACTAATACCTTTTCATTTGAGCAACAAAGGTATTACGCATAAGAATGTAACAAAATTGTAATTTGTTGGTATTTTCTTATTACAAACCACTTTGTAAGTGGCAGTAAGATTATTTATAAAATGCCAACACAAACCATCATCAATTGGCTGACATTCCTAGCGATGATAATATGCTTATGATGAGAAGAGCTCTAAGTGAATCACATGGTATCATATTTAGTTTTTTCATTTAAATGTTAACAATTCATTATCACGAGGAGTTTGAGTGTTCTGTGTGTTAATGTGTGTCCTTTTCTCATAAAAGTTTTAAAAAATATTTTGTGTAGAAAAAATGAGGAAGATGCCATATATTTCTTTTAGGAAAGATGCATTTTACCTTGCATTTGAATACGCAAAAATTGTAAAGCAAAATACAAATCCAAGTGTTGACAAGCCGTTCCTCTTTGTCTATTGCTTTGTCATTTCCGCACAGCTTCTATATAAATAATTTTTATTTGGTGGCCATTTTTACACTTTTGCTTGGTATACAAAATTCTGTTCTCTTGTACCACTGCTTTCCATCACTTTTTTAGTTGATAGCAAGTTAAATATGACCAATATGTTAAAGGGAAAATTAATAATGAAAAATATGAAAGAATTAATGATGTAATGAAGAACTTTGTTCTTATTTTAAAATTTATGAAAAATTAAAAATTGGCAATATTTAAAGAGAAAATAATTCACGACAGAATGATATCACATAGTCAAAAGTGAGAGTGAAAATAAAAAATGGGGCACATATCACAAAGAATTACTGCTTAATTTGTAATTGGTTATCAGTTAAAATGCCAAACTTTTTAGAGGAAAAAAGAATTACTGAATCAATAATATCACATAGCAACATCACAATCAGAACAGTCTGAAAATAAAATTAGTTGTAGGTAAAAAATCTGGAGATTGTATTTACCAAACTTGGTGACCAATCTTCTGATTTTGGCAGCTCACTGAGGTGGGCACTTTTATTCTAAAGTACCAAAATGGGCATTAAAGAAAATGCAGTGAGAGCATTTGAAGGGCAGTTTAAAGTTACAAGTGAAGGAAAAGCATATATTTTGGGAACAAATTTGGTGGTGTCAGAATACTGCTTGTAATAATGCAGTTTTATTTTTAAACTGTTGGGCAGAGTAGGTGATGTTGATTCAGTTGTTGGAAATCTGCTTAGCCTTTATGAAAATAAAGTGATTGAATTGGAACATTTTTATCAGAAAGGTGTATTCTCTACATCTAATTCCATTGGCAAATAAGGGATAAGTGACCCTGAAGAAATTATAGGCATGAACGAAAATCTCTTCATTTAGATGAAAGCATAGCTGTTGACGTTTCTTCCATTTCTTTGGTAGACTGAGCTAAGAAACCAGTGAATTCTCTCTTACTCAAGTTAAGAATAGAGAAGCAACTGCTTTCATTGGAAAAACATTGAACAAGATGAAAAGCAGGTTAGTGGCATTTTACTGTAAACCAGAGGTGGGCATTAACCCTTTCCGGCACACTACCTTTTAAAGTCGAAGTTTTTAATAAAAAAAAAGGGCGGGAAGGCAGTCTAATTAGGCCTAGAGGAGTACACAAGTAAAATTTTGTGAAGATAGCACTTATTGTTTTAATTCTGTTGTGTGTGCCCAAAGTGGTGCGCCCAACAAAATAGAGCTTTGAAAAGAGTTTTGAAACGAGCATTGTCGTCAATGAACTGACCGATGAGATGCGGAGAAACAAAGAATACAGACACTCAGTTGTCCTAGATTATCGGTGAACCCGGTCTGGGCACACCTAGGGTTCGCCATTTGATTTTAGGCAAGATTTCAAGGTAAAAATTTAAAACTAATATAGAATAAGGAGATTAGCATACAGCCAAAAAAAATAACATAGAAATTTCTTTTCAAACAATTCCTTTTATACCGTTAAAAAAAATCTGGAAGATTTCTTTGAAAAATGAGGGTCTTAAAAAACTAAACATGGCTAAAATATATGGACTGGTTTATGTTGAGCTGCTATCTACTATAAATAAAGAAGGTTCAGAGTAACCTTTTTAGGTGTGTCCAAATCGGACACACTGTGCCGCAAAGGGTTAAGTCGAACGTGATCGACCAGTGAACCACCAAGATGTTTTGAAGTCGCTTTTTTAAAAAACCTAAGACGCGCATATTAAAACATATTTATGAAATGCTGGTGCCAGCTAGACTGGAGAGTTAGATTTTTGCAATCGATGAGACTATGTTTAAGCAAAATAGTTCGTTGAATGTGTAGACGACACATATATACTAGGGGAGAGGACAGTTCTATATCTCCCCTTCTACTAGGACGATTGGCGAAATTCAACTTGCATTTTTCATGTTTCGAAAGTGCAACTTAGGATATGTATTAGATTTATATATAGCATTGATTTAATATAGGTATTTTGACACAAAATTGGCCTTTTTCTGGCTCCTCAGTGTTAATTGAATGTGAGATATATTTATTAATATATCTTTTTTCATTAAACTTATTTGATTCTTCCTTTCATATTTCAAAATTTAGGTTCATTCCAAATAAAATTTCCCAATTTTTTATGATTTATTTTTAAAATTTGTATTTTTAGCTTGTTCAGGACCAGCGTCACATATACGTGACACAACGATTCTGCTCCTACCAGTCCAGCGCCACATATATGTATTATTAAAACAGAACGATTTATTTGAATTTTTAAAAGCCAGTAGATGGAGATAAGTAGTAACTGTTTTCACATGGGTTGATTCATACGGCATTTGAGCTTCATGTACTAGCATTAGTTTCTGTTTTGTGCTTCTGGTTTTGATAGATTTATTGAAATAAACAAACTGGAAATCATGGCTCTTTATAAGTGCTTGTGAATTAAAGGGGCACAGGCATTTTTGTTTATTTCATTAGGATTTTCTTTCTTCCCTTTTTTTTCTGTTTATTTTGAAACATAACATAAGCTTTCTTGGTTAGTTAAAAAGTAACATTACAACATTATTACAGAAGGGGAAAGATTCAGCTTTCTGTACGCGTAATGCATTTACTAGCTTGCACTTCTCAGGAAGAGTAAGCTTTTTTTTTTTTTTTACTTACTCGATTTAATAGGTCATTATATATAATGACAGAGGCCTTATATTTTGGTATGTAATGTATTTATTTTACATATAATGCAATTATATACAGTCAAAAGTCGTTAATCTGGACTCCTCGGGACTTCGGCGATTCCGGATTATCGATTTTTCCGGATTATAGATCATCGGTTTAAATCTCGTAAGATGGCATGCAGAAATTCAAAATTAAAAATATGAAACCATAATTTATGAAATAAAGTACAATTATAATCTAAAGGGTATCAAAATTTACATAAAAAAGTTTTTTATATTATTTTGTTTTAAAATATAAAATAGCAATTAAACCCGTCTGGTTTCGAATTTGAATAAGTTACAGAATTATTTTTTCGGCAGAAATCTTTTGGCTATTGCTTTTAGGACTGATTGAAAACCGTCTTCGCCATTAACAGCTTGAGCTTGGCGCCATATAAATTCGATAAGGTATGAGTCAAGATGATGAC